AATTTTAACGAAATAAACATCAAAATGTACAGTTTCGGTCAGCAATTTCATGCTCGACCTCTGCCAATGGGTTTCACTGTACGCCGAGTCACGCACTCCCCCTTTGTCTATCCACCCCTTGTACATCCACCCGTTTCAACCAATAGGATCTCTCAATGCTCCCTGTGTCTTCTTTGTCTATCGCTTTGTGTACCAATTTCAATGATCAGCCCTCTGTATGGTGTAAAATTCTCTCTAAAATACATCAAAGATTTTAAAATTTGTTACGTTTGGTTCCGAATATCGAATATTTGGTTTGAATATCACATTTCCTCCTCGTTCGCGGGAGGTGTGAAGTAACGCCCTGTCGGCAACGCGGGAGAAACCACGAAAGTGACCCAAGTCCGGGTCTCCAACTCTTCAGTTGCCACTATCGCTGGACTCGGAACTTTAGACGGCAAACAATAAGATTGCCCGGGCAGTCTAATCGGCTTACAATTAGATATTTCTGACGACTAGTTCTATCCCGCCCACCCTCATTCTTGAAACCCGCCCCCGAACTTTTCAACGCCGCCGAATCTCACCAAAAACCCCTCACGAAACCTAATAATGGACCACTAGACAAGGTACGAATTTTAGCATTCTGATACATGTTTCCTAACCAAAATTTCACGTAGAACACGATGCGCCCAACGAAACTTACCGAAATTAACTCCTTAGGAAGATATTAAATGATTCTTAGTGCGTGAATTCAAATCATCCGCTCATGAAAACTCAATGCTCTACGTGAATCACATCGCGCGCTAAACTCTCTGCGATGTAAAAATCTACCGACTTCAATCTTGACACTTTGGTTCAGCTATAACAAATTGCTTATAGTTTGAACGACACATGGTGGGAAATGAACATTGCTCGATTGAGAAGCTTGCTGAAACCGTTGCAGTGCGCGATTTGACTCACGTAGAGCTTTGAGTTTATTGTGAGCGGGCAGTTCAAATTCCTCGTGATCAATGTGAAATAAAAACGTTAATATCTTCTTTAAAAGTTGGTTTCAGTAATTTTTCTCGCGCGAATCGTGTTCTGCGTAAAATTTTGGTTAAGAAACATGTATCAGAATTCTTAAATTCGTACCTTGTCTAGTGGTCCATTCTCGTACTATTTCGCAACAACGCCCCGCAGAGTTGCAAAACTTGATTATATAATTGCCCTCTTCTACATAGAATCTTATGGGTGCGCCGGGAGATCCGGCTTGTTAACGTAAAACCACCTAACTGCGCCCGAGTTTTCCGCGCAGATCCGTCGTTTTGATTTGATACGGCGGGGATCTCCCCTCCTAATCTGGAGGCCTGGTGAGTGGGGTTAAATGTCCAAACTTTTATCACCGGTCAGGCTTTATCTCTTGTTCAAATTGAATTCCTCCGATCTCTTCACCCCCTCGCGGCCTGTGTCATTTAACCCTTCTGCGCCCCCCCCGCCCTCCACCTCCCTCCCGCATCACCAGTTGGCATTACTGTTAATGTTTACCCTTCGAGTCCTTTGCCTGACTCGGTGATCTAACTCCGTTTGATTCGCGACTTGTGGATTTCAAGTTTCAAACCGCCCCCATCTTAAGACTTTCTGAGACGATTCTGAGCCTGCTTGCTCGCTATCGGGGCCATAAACTTCCGGGGCATATAACTTGAGTGTCTTTTTAAAATGGATCAAATAGTGCCTTTGGTTGTTTGCTTCGATGGATGACTAACGGCGCAATAATTAGACCTCCCATTGATTTTGCAGGCCTAAAGGAAATTATTGACTAAAATTGAAAATTTTGAAGCTTCATTCGTGACATTTTAAATTTCAAGGGGTGCATAGAGAAGAAAATATTTCGAGGAAACCAATAAAACCACTTTTAGAACCTCAAAAGTCTGTATAAGCGGAGTTATAAGCGTTGAAAGCTTCCAAATTTTGTCTTACCTCTCCTATTGACGAGATCCACTGTTCTCCGGTAGAAATATTAATACCCTAATTTTTCTGACATTGGACATTTGTTTTGTCATGGGAACGGAGTTCCCCATGATATTAGAATCGTTCCGTTGCTTTCGCAATGGGATTCCCTATACCTCTGTGACCTTGAGCGTTTCGCCCAGTCTCCGATTTTTGGTTGATTTTCCGATGTATCAAAAACCGTTGTATTTTTTAGCCAATCATGTCTCTACGTCAAGTTGTGTTGATTGCTAAAATTCGCTTTCAGCGAGTTTTTTTC